ATAAAACTGCCAGTCACATCACTGGGATTTTTTTTTTTGTTATTATTATTTTTTTTTTTTGCTTTAACAAAGAGTTGAATTTTCCTTTTTCCTATGTTTTTAATGTTGGGTATCTTTATTTAACCTTGAGACTTCAGCTTCCTCTTTCAGATCTTGCTCTTTTCTTTTTCCCTTCTGATTAATGTTTTCAAAACAATGTTTGTGTCGCAACAATTATGTCTTCTTACTTGTCATCTCTGTTTAAAAATGTTGCTGCATCTGGATGAAATTTAGCTCAATAAGCAAATAATTTCTTAAGCCTTCAAAGTGACTTAGTCACTGACTTAGAGAACACAAAATATTTCCAGCATTTGTGCCACCATAGTTTTTTAAAAAACTTGATGATCAGGAGATATCTCTCTCTTGAGGAATAAATGTATTTTTGTTTTGAAAGAAATATGTATTCATCATCCCTTCTTTAATAGTAAATCCTTTTTAAAAATTGTTTATTGAGTATAATTTCCTATGATTTTCTTTCAGAGACTAAAGAATGGCTTTTACTGTAATGTATTTATTAAATTGTTTAAATATTTAATACATTCTTCATCAGCATAATAGCTACTATTTTAATTCATATGCATCATTAGCAGAAAAAATACTTAATTCTACTGGAAAATGCTATACACCCACAGGAACTACATCTACTTAATTACTCTAAAATAAGCTCCACCTGGAAGATCTGTCTTCCCAGTTCATTTTAAAATAAGTCTCCAGATAATCTCTGAAATAGTCTCCTTAAACATACTAAGGTTTCTATGGTTATTAGTAATTGTGTTGCAAAACCAGGGGAATTTTATTTAGTGTGGTGGAGGAAATAATATCATTATTAGTTGATTAGTGTGAACAATCTTTGACAATATGTAGTACCAGCTATGGTTTCAACCACTGACACCTCATTATTCTGATTGCAGTTTGATTTGCAATGTTAAGAGGCAACAGGAAAAAAGCAATCATCCAAATCTACCTCTATCAGCTGAGAACAATGGAGGGAGTGTGTGTGCTTCACGGTATTCTAGAAATTTCCTTCCCACAAGAAAATAAAACCCCTTAATTGACAAATGACTGACACTGTTTACTAATTAGGAGGCAGGCTGCCACGTTTCTAATGCACCCTATTGTGTGCGTGCTCTGCTGTGTCAGGATTTGGTAACAAGATTACAAGTGTGATGTTGTATATGTTGTATTTTCCTGAAGTAGATGTTTTTTAGAGCAAAAGTGGCAGGTCTCGAGGGGTTGCAAATCACTCATTCTTTAATTTGGATATAGCATTAAATGTAATATAAAATCCTTTAGGTCATCCTGCTCAGTCCACATGGGAACATGGTCCTGTTAGCACCACCCTTTGTCAGTGGTCACAGGGAGCTGGCTGGCCCTGTGTCCTAGGGCACAGCAGTGGCAGCAATAACCTGTGGGCGCTGTGCAAACTGAAGGTGTTTTATTTCACTGCTATTCCCACCGGTACATTGTCAGGAGTGAGTCGCAGGTTATCATCTCTATTAGCAGGGCGAGATAAAAACTGCCTGTGTTGCTCTGTGGGGGGAATTGTCTCGCAGAGACAAAGGGCCTGGGCTTTTGGCCGCCAGTTCCTACAGAAGGATCAGCAGTGCTCCCATGGGTCAGGCCACTGGCACACATGGGGCAGCTCATGCAAGAGCTGTGCTTGTTGTTTCTTGGCTATTTGGGACAAGGCTTTAATCCTGTGACATTTATATGTTTGATGTAATGTGCTGTATGGCACCAGTGTATTTCACGGTGGCATTTGAAAAAAAGTAAACCAGTTTATATTGGATGCTTCCATGTGTACTTATGTGTCAGCCCACGGGGCAGGAAGATCTATGTTTTTCTTGGGTCATTACAGTCAATGCTTCTCACATTAGCTTTCCCCTTAAAAGTCCCCTGGGCTCTAGGGGATGTAAACAGACCTGTTTAGAACTCAATGCTCTAAAAGCTGTTCTGAGGTTTTATTTTAACCCAGGAGGACATTTTTGCAAAATGAAAATTCTCAAAAGTCATGCTAATTTGGATACTAATTTAGTGATTAATAAATGCCTCCATTGCTTGTCTTTCCCTCCTCAAAGAGCACTGATTTAAATGCTGTTTAATACTTGTTTAATGTGTTTGCCATCATTGAAACAAGTAATTAGAGCACGTGGTACAATCAGTAGCCAAGCAATAGACTCTTTATTAGTAATCTTGGGGGAAAAAGGGAATGAGGACATGGTGCTTGTATTACTGTCTGTACTAATTTGGACTTAGGAAAATCAGCATCTGTTCAACCTGTACGTATTGGCAGGAGCTAAAACTGAGCTCAGAAACAGAGTGGTAGCTTAGCATTAGAGATTCTGCATCTTTGACTTTCAGTAAGGATGAGGAGACTGCTAAAAGATGTGATGCAAAAATGACAAACCATGCCTCTCAGCTTTGTGAACAGTTTACTGGGATAAATTCCCCTCTCTGTTGTGTAGCAGGATTGTCAAGGTACTCCATTAAATTAAACAGACTCCTTCTGCCCTGAGCCGCCAAAAAAAGCAAGAGCATCTTTTGGACACATCTCTAAATCAGATAGACCTAAGGCCCTGTTTTCACAAGCACCTCCTGGATTCGTAAGATACCTGTGGGCTGGGGCTGCACTTTCAATTAGATATCAAATGCAAATTTTCAAATGCTTCTAGTTCTCACACTGGATTTGGACTGTTGATAGTAATAGCTGCAAATGCAAGGATTTAGATAACCAGCTAAGTTAGCTATTATTTCTCTGAATTCTATTGATTAGAAGGTACTTGAGATAAAGAAAGATATTGAAGTGTATACAGTGTGATTCAGAACAGTGTTAGCCTGATTCACCTAGTCTTAGCCAACACTGGAAAATGAATGTTTCTTATTTTGACCATTGATAAAATAAGTTGCACAAGGAATTATCTGTATAATTTAAAGACAAAATGGGAAGAACTGTACTGTTTTATTTGCCACATATGATGCAGAAGACCACCAAAGCTATTGTAAACAGCTGCCTGCCAACAGGCCTGTGTTGCGTGCTGAGAGGCCAGGGTTTCTCTGACAGCAGCAGCCACTCTGTCACGTTTGATGTCAAGCCAAGCTGGATCCTGGCTGAAAACTCCTGATGTCTTTGCATATCTATTGTTCTTATAGGACTGTAATGGGCAAAGGAGAAGGACAGGAACTTAACTATCTGTTCCTGGTGGTCAGTGACTTACTGCAGAATCATGGAGAGTCAGCCACTACCACCACTCTGGACTATTTTCTCCAGCTTCAGGATAGTCAAATGATCTCTCTGTCAATGCTGCACTGTGTGGTTGCTTTATTAACAGTTTGAGCTCCACTGACAAACTTTGCACAATGGTCTCATAATTATCTGGACTTACTTTTATGTTGTGACAAGTACTTAAGAGTGGCAATTCTGGCTGACAATGACATTCTACCCATATCAAATGTTCTCTGCTTGTTTTATTTATGATCATAAATTCTGTTTTAGAAGATTTCCCACTCTGTGCATTTCTACAGGATTACAGCACTTCTCAGGTGGTAGAGTGCTCTGGTTTCCAAATTCCCATGGCATAATGACACCTGAAGAGTATAGTAATCACTCAATCACCACTGCCTGGTGTAGCTCATTGCTTAAATGCAGTGTATGGATATGAAAGAATGTAGAAAACAAAACCTGAGTGTGGCTGGGTCCAAACACATAATGCAGTTTACTGGTTGAAATTGATTCAGTGCACTCAGATGATAGCCCTTGAAAGGCACCAGAAAGAGGGTAGCATCAATCTGAAGGCAGCAAGCAAGGAAATGTGACAGTCTTTGCATTCATTCTCTGCTGAGAGGAGTACAGACACACAGTGAGGTATGGGTGATTCCCCTGGGACACTCAGGAGCCCATGGAGCCCCAGGTACTCCACTCTGGAGGGTGAGTCATGTAACAATCCTAGAAAAATAGAAATATAGATTTATTTTCTTTTTTCAAATGGTATTGAATCCACTTGGGGTCCCATATCCCTTCTTAATTTTTTTTGTTTGCTTTTGTTTTTGTTTTTTTTTTGTTGGTGCAGCTTTGCTAACATTTTTTGGTATTTCCAATATCATGGGTTTTCGGGGCTCTGGGATTTTGCCAGTGCATACTACTAGCTGCTGCAAGACAAGAGGGGTTTTCAGAAAGGGTTTGCTTTGGCAGCTCAGGCCAGCAGAGTCACTTGAAGTGATTAAGCTCATTGCAACTGGGGACTGCAACACCTGAAGTACCGTGACTGTTTAAGACACTGCCACAGAGCCCTTCCCCCAACCAACCCTCCCACCACCCCCCCACCAAAAAAAAAGAAAAAGAAAATAAACCACCAAACGCCAAAAAACAAAGTGCTCAGTCACAACATAAAAGTAAGTCTGAGTTAATTTATTGGCTTAGGTGGACCTGGAAGCTTGGCAAAGTCTGGTTTGGGTTGAAACTAAGCCAAGCTTCAGGTTTTACTGTGCAGTAATTCTGGCTATCAGAAAATATACACAGGGAGACAAACCTCCCATTGTGAGGCCACACAGACCTGTCCCTAAAAAGCTGTGTTTGGCTAAAGGCAAGAGCATGGTTTGCTGTAATTCCTCCTTTTCCCCAGCCCATTCCTGTGGCTACAGCATTAGGCCCTGTTGGGGTTTGCTCTCTGCCCCTCGGCACAGCCTATGCTGGCAGCCAGTCTTCTTTCTAGGAAACAGCCACAGTAGCCCTTCCCACCTGGGAAATGCTTCCAGTGCTTCTGCTACTTTCAGCACCAGTGGGGAAACTGTAAGGGGATGTCACAGACCTCCATCCCATTCATGCTTAGGTACCCCCAGTCAGGGTCCAGGGAGCACCCACAGATTCAACCCTGGGAGTCTGAGCAGAGCTCAGAATGGGCATAGGGCTGTGCTGACTTTGAGTCAGATTTCATTGCCTGTGAGGGCAGTTCTTGTGGCTTTGATATGTCTTTCTCAGACTTTTTATTCTGTACATATTTTATTACTAGAACAGAAGTCTGAGCATGTTGTTGTATTTTTTGCAGGACCTGGGCATGTGTTCCCAGAAACCTGGTAATTGAGGCAACATGGATTTTGGAATGCAGAACATCAGAACTACCAAACATGCCCTGGAACAGAGAATCACTACGGTACTGTTACATGTACTATTGAGCTTTTTTTTTTTAATAAACTCGTTTTTTTGTTGAGCTATATACTACTTAATCAAATTCAGGGCAAAAGGTGAAGCATTGATAACACATTACTGATCATGTCATCTGCTGATCTTTCCTGAGATTTCACTTCTGCATACTAATAAAGCCCACTTGGAATTAGTATGCTCAAGAGGATGTGAAATAGGTTCAGCACACTCATGTTTGGAAAGAATAGCAAAATGTCTTATTGTCAGGAAAGCCCACACTGTGGAGCAGCAGTCAGAGGTTGCCACGTTTGCTATTCTGTATGTGCAATAAGTAGCTGGTGAGGTATGTTACAACTGAAAAGTGAAAGGCCAGTTTTTATTAGTGAAAGGATAGTGGGGGAGGAGTGATGAGGAGTGGCTGGGTGGGTGTTCAGAGTGGCTGCTGTGGGTGCTGCTCCTCAGAACAGGAATCCAGATGAGGGATGTACAGTGGCTGCAGAATTTGTAATTTGGAGGGGGAAATGCAGAATGAAACCTTGCCATAAAGAGAGGGAAGGACATTAAAAAGTTCTTAAGTCCGAAATACAGGATATAATTCACAGCCCATTGAAATCAGTGGGCATTATCTCATCACAGTGGGCACTGGATTAGGCCTCAAAAGGGTTGAAGCAACACAGTGTTAGTCAAGCAAATTTCCCTTAGTAGCAGGGTTTGAGAGCTGCAGTGTTCAAAATGAGAGTGTTTTAGAGTGAGCCAAAGCACAGCCACAGCCACATGATCTTGGTCAGTCTCCTTCAGTTCATCTCAGCTTGCTCGGAGTTCAGAACAAACCATGCCAGTTCTGACAGGACCCAGCATGGACTGAGCATGAAGGTGGTCCTACCCAGCTGTTTCTTGGAACTAAGAATGTCCAAAAGGATTCTCAGGCTTTAAAGCTGAAAATTATTAGAAAACCAAAGCAATACGTGGCAACAAGGAAACGCTTTCAGCAGAGAAAACTCAGATGTGCCTGGTGAGAGATTCAATGAAAAGCTTGCAGGCAAAGCTTACTCTGAGCCTGCTGTATCCTTGCTGAGGACAAAAGAGTGAGCCCTCTCCTCCATCCTTTTTTTTTGCCTCTGATTTTTTTCTGGATTGCAAAAATCCTGACATCTCTTCGGAGAGACCTTTGTAGACCTTTGGATGCCTCAGGAAGTTTCTGTCTATCAGTGACTTTTCCAGACACTTCTGGGGCTGTGTCTAGCAGTCCTGACAGAGTTTCCTAGTAGCAGTCTGAGTCTTTCTTATACTCAAGGTTTACTGTATACTGTTTCTTTTCCTTTCATAGCGTAGCCTGCCCTGTTCTCCAGAAGGATCTCCAAAGACATGTATTCCTAATTTCGCTTCAGTAAGGTGTTCTGTTATCCCCTTCTCCAGGCAGCTTCTCCTGACCCAGACTACAGCAGGGAGCAGTAAATAGTTTGGGCTTTTTTTTCCCCAGTCAATCTTTTTAGCAGAATTTGCTTTGCGCAGTGACAAAGTTCCCTGTGAACAAACAGATCAGAGGTAAGCCTCAGATGGGACTGTCCTCGATACACACATGAAGTCTGCGTTGGGTGGCACACAGGATGTGTGACTGGCAGCGGAGGAGTAGAACAGTGTCCCTGTAGGCTCCTTGACAGGACACACCTTGTCAGCACAGGCATGTGTGTGTAGAGACCTTTTTCAGTAGAACCCAGGGATGTGCTTTTCCTGTATAACAAATTACCTTGGTATCACGATTGGAAGCATAAAGCCATTCCCAGGTTAGTGATAATCCCCTGTGGTGGTTTTGTTTCTGTGTTGCAAGTGCCAATAGTTCTCACACCCAGCTGTGTCATTACTGAGTGTCATTTGCATACAAGTGTCTTGCCACAGGTGATAGACATTGTTGATACTAATGTCTTTCAAATGTTGAAGCTGCAGAAATGGAATATCTATGAGAAATGATCTGTGGTGAAATTTCATTTGTTACAAGCAAGATTGTTTCCTTTTCTGCTCTGGGCACGTTTACAACGGTTGCCATGTGTCTTTAATGCATACTGTGTGTACAAGCATCTATACAGCACTGATGCTGACCAACAGAACAGTGCTATGAGCAATGAAAACATGCAATTTCTCTTAGCTCTGTTAAGCAGTGTCTATGCCAGATCTGCCTGCAAGAGTTGCCTGCAGCCAGCTGCCATCTCAAAGTAATGCGTGCACCACCGTGTACCACTGTCCTTGGATCTTGCAGAACAGTCGTACATGTACTTCTCACTGTTCTCATTTCAAAGGCAGTGTTTTTGCAATCAGTACAGAGATAAAAAAATACAATTGCTTGCTGATCTCAGGTCAGCATTCTTGGAAGAACTGCTGTGATGAGTCAGCAATCTGAGAGCAGATAGCATCCTTGGATCAGAGACCAGGCCAGGCCATGGAGTAATACAGTAATCCTAATTGCAATCTGTGCCACTTTCTGACGAGTTACAAAGTTGTCTGCTCTTGAATATGTATTCATATAGAGCATGTAGGGCTCACAGCTAAGATATTAAACATGGTATGCATATATAGCTGGCACTGAAAGTGCAATTTGCTTATGTGAACTTTTAGATTTGCTTCCAGATCAGATAGAAGCAAATGAGCAATGACCTTTTGAGGATCTAGAGGGGGAGGAAAGAGTCTCACTAGGCTGCATCACTTTTTAAGAGAAAGGAAAATAATGAGCTTGAGCTGAAATAAATTATTTTTACAACTGTCCTGAACTAAGTATGCAGAGGGAATGCACAGAGTTGGAGCTCTACCACTGCCAGTGCTCTGACAGCTAATATGACTAAATGAGATCAGCTCCTACCTAACAGAACATTGGAAAGGGTTCAGGGATTGCTTAAGATAAAATGAATGGCAAAGAAATGAAGTACAGGAGCTTCCTTCTTCTGAGGTATGGTAGGCACAGAAATCCCATTATTTTCTAATAGCATTTTACAATTCTCGCTCACCATTTTGTAACTCATTTGAACTGTTCATATCGTTCAAAAAATGCCCTTTTTGGCTGTCTTGGGTGGGATATCCATCTGATTTATTTTGCTGCATGCAAGTTAGTCAAAAGAGCCAGGACAGATGGCTCATGGTATTTTCAGCAGATATTTAGGTTATTCTCTGTACCTGCTGCTATATTTCTTTTGAAGGAGATAGTTAAAAAAGAAAAAGATGTTTCCAGTCTAAAAGTCTGAGAAGAGAATTCACAGGTACCCCTGTCTTTAATCATTCAGTGTATTCATAAATATTGCACTGAAAAATAGGGAGAAATTAATTGTTTCACATGCGGTTTCAAGCATGTGTTAAGTATTCAAGAGCTTTCAGATGAGATCTAGCACATTTAAATGCAATTTCATCCATGTCTTCCCGGTCTGCAATGAACAGCATATTGCCCTGTTCTTTATTTGGCCTTTTAGTTGGATTAGCAACCACAGTACAAATCCATATGAAAAGGTGAAATGATGAGATCCTATTCAAGTAGCATGAGTTGCATTTCAGTAAGTTTCACAGGTTGTCTCATACATAGAAACTTTCAGTTGTGTTTCTTCAAGTATTTTTAGTCCTTGAAAATCCTTTGGTTGCAGCTCAGATTTCTCTTTAAGTGGCAAAATGAGTGCAGTCATTCTGGTTGCTTGTGTAGTGTCCTTTCTTAGAGGACATGTCCTTGTCCTATAACTCTTCTCTGCTTGCCAGGCCTAGACAAAGTGGCTCTGCTGAAAAGCTGTCACCACAGATCATCATTGACTTCAGCAGAAGGATGGTTTTTCCCCCTTTGTCATTTCCATAATGGGATTATGAAGATGCACAGAGTTGCAGTGTTCCAGGAGACCAGATAGCTGGACTAGAGTCAGGGCCCTCCACGGGTATGCTGTGAGTTTTGTTTTAATAATTGCCATAGTATTTTTAATTAGGATAGGGCACCATATCCCTGTGAAACCACAGAAAATATCTTGAGGGTGTAATGGATTTCAGCTGATGTCTGGTGGTTATTCTTACTCAAATCCTTATGACTGTGGAGGAAAATTTGTAGAGGATTGTGGTATCTCTAGTTTTATTTAGCTAGAGCATCTCTGTGTAAGAAATTAATTGAGTTACTTAACAGGGGTTACTTAACACCATTTCTTTTAATTTTTCTTTTGGCAAGGAGAAGTGTAAGCAGTCCACTGACCAAACTATAGGGGCTACTAATGTTACTGATCTATTTTGACCTCACTTAATTGGGTGTGGGTGAGAACAGAAATGTGTGGAGATAGCACATCTAGTGTTTGGTTTGTTCTGCTGCTTCTTTTAGGGTTCTTCACCTGTTTTACAGAGAAAAGGTCCCTTATGACAAAAAGTCTTTATCTGTCAAACAAAAAAACCTGGCATAGGAACTGATGAACTGATGAAGGATGCTTCTCTGAGATGGCCAGCTCCCCCCAGGAATGAAGGTGTAAGTCAGCCTTCTTTCCCCAGAGTCACATCAGCAGATCAGCTGAGAGCAGCACGTCACTTCAGTGCTCTGCATGGGACAAACCCTTTTCCCTTTGCTCCCTCACCGCAGCACAGCTCAAGGCCCACATGTCCCCAGGGCCACTGCCCTTTTACTTTCAGTAATGCTACTTTGACCTCTTCTCAAGGCTGTGCTAAACTCTGGGGTTATATAGGACTGCCTGTTTTGGGGACACAGTGCAGAAATCATGTGTTCTGAGTTCCAGGAATACCATCGCAGAGACAAGCGACATGGCTAACTCAGAGATGTGAGGTGGCATATTTGTTCAACTGAGCTTTTGAGGGAAAAGCAGCCACTACAGTGTATGTCTGACATTCTTGGACTGTCTAGATCTACCCTGTACCAGAGAGGTCAGCATCAACTACAGGATAAAATGGTCTACTTAGGACAGAAAACCTGCACCTATAAGACACCAACAGGACAGAACAACAGGGCCCAGTGGCCAAGCTCACTACAACTCTTATCCAGATTTAGAAGAACAG